GACTTAAACACAGGAACCACCAGCAGAGTCTGCAGCCTCTCTGTCCAGAGCAGCTTTGCAGAATTCATAGTTCACAATAATTTAATCTGATATTGGTGCAGCTCCTCAGTCCATCCTCAGTCTGACAGAAGCAGCTTTAGCTGTGTGGAAACTTCTCATCTGGGTTTTATCTTAAATATTTTGCATTCAGACGAAGAAGAAGATGTCTTGTTCACACATTTTTATACACTAACTGCATGTTACAGCTGTGTTTAAACAGTATTTATAATGATGCATCGGTGGGTGAGTGCAGATATTTTTCCAAAGAGCCAGTGGTTCCACCTCTGGGCGGAGTCACCGCAATCCAGCGTGCAGTCCACACCTGTTGGCAATCAAGCTGTTGGTACTTAAGACCAGCGATGGTCCTTTGCCAGATCTTCCTCTAACCTCTGTTAGTGTGGGCCGCCACAGCGCTCGTGAAACTTTGCTCATCTTGTGCTCTCTCTGTTTACAGTAATCCACCTGGTCACCTCGCTGAAACATGACTCACCTTCAACACTCACCTTCAGTAGGATGCTGGTCTTCTTGGCAGCTTCTTGGTCACTCCTTATGCTCACTTCACTCACCTAACTCGACTACTTGATTCCTCTAGATTTATCTCTGCTCACCTGGTTCACTTACCCTCTCCACGCCATCAATCCACCTGCAATAAGTGTGACATTTCACGACCTCGTTTTCACTCACCTGAACTGCATCCAAACACCTTTTGAACCTCGTCTCCTCTCATTACTGTAACTCTGAGCCTCCTGGTCCAACCCCTCAGTCTAACTACCCCTTTGCCCCAAAGTCACAGTGTTCAAGTGAAAACTGCTTCACAGTATTTCCTGTTTATTTCATAGCTCACGTTTGCATCATAATTCACAGTTCATGGTTTGAGTCTCAAGTTGTATATTTTGTTATCATGTTTATCAGTGCCTCCATCTGTGTCTGTGAGTCCGTTCTCCTGGTTTGGCCTCCCAGCTGTGACGCCATCTTCTTTCAGTGCAGAACGACACACTAACCACAAGGAAGAAAGCCGACACGTTCTCGTCAGTGTCCTCAGATTCAGTCTGACTGCAGCCAACAACAGGAAGCTTCTGCTGTCGTTTCACTGAACTCAGTTTGCAGAAGTTAAAAGACGTAAAAGGTTTTAAAATGTTTCACTGCGTTATTGGACAGTTCGGGAGGCTGAGAACACTTTGTTTTGTTCAGCCTTCTTCTTCTTTATATAACTCATATTAACAACTAACTCATCTTTTTTAGAACTTATGTGTGAGCTGAAGTTGTGCGACTTCTGAAACACACTCGAACACAGACGGATAAAAACCACGTGAACATCATCAGGACCTTTTTATGCAGAAGTGAAGAAGAGCAGCTTTACCTCTCGTCTGTGATCGTTTGTTCTTGTCTGTGATGATTTTTCCATAAGTGACGTCTTCAGTTCTCACTGCTGAGTAAACTGCAGCTGGATCAGTGTCTGCACAGTAAAACACACAGAGGACGTCACTGCAGACAGAACAGCTGAGAACAGACATGAAACTGCTGCCACTCACAAATCTTTTTATAAAACACTCAGAGAGTTTTCATTTACTGCTCAGGTTATTTTAGAAATTTAAAATAGTTTAACATGAAGTCAAATGTGAGATAAACACACCTGATAAAGGAGCCTCACAAAAGCTGAATGTTGGTTATTTGCACTAACAGGATATTAAAGTCAGCTCACATGTTAGCCAATCAGACTAACAGGCTGTCACTATTAAAATATGAACTTTACCAGAGGTAGGCTCAGAATTTAGATACTGAGACAGAAGGAATGTAAGATGCTGGTGTCATAAATATGAAAGACTAAATGTTAAAAGGAAAACTGTGAATAATACAGCAGGAAATGTGCTTAATTTACACAAATAATAAAATATATTTTCATGTTTAGTAAATATGATAACAGTGTCTGACCTGTGTGAGTTTACAGAAATGCTCTTACAAATAACTCACGTGTTTCTTCCTCTATTTAAAATTCACACCTCTGTGTTGAAGCACACGTAGATGAAGCTTTTTTTCCTCAGAAACAGTCGCAGACTCGTTAGTGTTAACCACAGACGACAAACACACAGAACTTAACATGGTGTGAAAATCTACAGACAGACTGATATATATTTGACTGATACCATCATGCTGTTAAATGTAAAATCATTTACTCATAATCCAAACTGGGTTTATTTTACACATCGTCACAGGCTTCCAGTTTCTTAAATTCAGCTACTTTTGCTTCTATGACATAATTAATCTTAATCTAATTTAATGTTAACCTAATTTAACATTAAATCTTAATTCTGTCCAGCTCTGTGTCTCTGACTCCTCCCACTACAACACTGAACAAACCAAGAGCACCAAATGCTGCAGTTCCTCTAATGTCCACTTGAGATTTGTAAAGTCAGTCACTCTCCATAGACACTCATGTGAACATGTTCAACTTTACAGCAGAAATAAAAATTTATACAACCTGCTATTAAAAATATATTTGGTCTCTATAGCTAACCCTCTCCTTCATACGAAGTATGCATGAGTTGAATGCCTTTATAACGCACCTGTTCAAATGTTAATGAGGCTGAAAGTTTGCATTAATAGGGGCGTGGCCTCTTTGAGAGGTCGATGGACACAGGCTGCTGTAACTGCCAACTGTCTGTTAGGCTTCACCTCAGCCAATTGTTCATCCATGTTTGTGCTTTGGGGGTATTTTTAATGCAAATGTGTAACCAATACTATGTGGCTTATTGCATAAACAAACATTACCAGTTCTGGTAAGTTTAAATCTAGGATCTTGTTTTTATGTTACAAAGCTCTATTTAGTAGCTATCAGTGCCTTTCTGTTGACTCCTTACAGTCTATGGAAGCAGCTTGATAACCAAGCTATCTGACACTAGCTAATAAATTAGCACTGCACCCTTTCATCAAAGCTAAATCGCTCTTGGCAATAAAGACAAACATGATGTTGCTAAAAATGTTAAGGCTGGAAAAAGCAATGGAGATTTAAAACAGAGAGATTCAAATCTCCATGTTTGAATGAAGTGAACATACAGTTCACACCTCACCCTGGGCCCCCCAAATTACTTCTGCTTTGTTTGACTGTCTGCTGTTGGTATGTGATACTTTAATATCAGTGTATGTGAATCATCTTCAGCAGCTTTGTCTGAATATGCTGAAATTCCACAGTGATATAATCATAATTAAATCATAACGAAACCAGATATATCAGGAAGCATCAATGTTTAAAACAAATGAGAACAAACCCTCAGAAGCAAGGTGTTTGCCATGGGAATAAGTGCTAAGAAATCAAAAAAAGAAATACAAATCACATTTTTATTTTCCTACTGCAGATTTGCTGCAAAATGCATTTTTTAAAATTCCAGTTAAAATGTGTTGTATGTATTTTTTTGAGTTGTTTAACTCATTTCACTTCTACAAAAAAAACACATAAAAAGCATAATTTTTAAGACATGAAACATTTTTATAGAACCATGAAGCTGTGATTCCTTATTAAAGGACACTTTAAAAAATCCATGATGCAATTTTTGAGTCCTATGGGTCTATGGGTTTTCTCAGTGAGAAAAAAAAGACTTAAGACATGTAAAAATCTGTGGATGTCCTCTGGTCTGAAGTGCTCGGGAGACCAGTTAGAGACCAGCAACTGGACGTCAGTGGTTGGACTGGTGGACTACTTCAGTGAAGAGTAGACGACGCCTGGCTCTGGTTTAAAGTCTGAACACAAACACACACAGTTCAAACAACAGGAAACATAATTACAAGCTTTGTAGTTCAATCAAGACCTCCAGTCTCCACCTCTCTGCATCACACACAGTCCCAGTTCAGACATTACTGGGAACCAGCTCAGATACAAATAAGAGCTTCCGTATGAATAACATTGTAGTCTAATTCAGATGTTGGTTGGGGTTGACGTTCTGATATAAGATATTCACAGCAATTGACCTTATTTTTATCAACTCAGAGACCTTGTTGTACGACCTTCTCTACTCCGTTAGTACATTTCCCCCAGAAAAGGCCAAGAAAGTCATTTATATCATTTATGGAGGCTTTTGGCTCTTGTGCAGGTTGTCTTCAGACTGTTGGTGGCCTACCTCATTTGTACTGATTCCTAAACAATGAATGCTATAGTAAAGTTGAAAGTTTGCACTTCAATCACATCTTGATTTTAAACCTGCTGTGTTTGTGCATCGATGCAAAACTACAAAAATTATATCCAATAAATTTTGAACATCACTGTAAGTTAGGGTATCTTTAATCTGATATTACATAACAGATGCTGTATTTTACATTTGAGGTGGACATTTTCTGCCAATTTCCAGCTGCATGTTTTTCTTTTCTACTACAGTAGCTTTGCATGATTCACAGTTCAGTATAATCCGTCTTTACATGGGGCCTTTGTGCAGCCTCTGTCTGATGCCAGCTGTGTTCCCTCCTGTCCCTTTAATCAAAACTCTCTTCTGATTGGTTGATTAAACAGCATGTGGGTGGGGCTTTAATGGTTGAGATGGACATATTGATACCCTGCCTCTATGACATCATTCACACACAAAGACAAATAAAAATAGACTGTGGTAGAGTGTTTGGAGCACTCTGCTTTCTGAGCTTTTTGCTCACAGAGATTATTATTATTATTATTATTATTATTATTATTATTATTGTGATGATATTTGTTGTATAAAAATGTATTAAAACTTAAAACATAATATCATAGTTATTGTTCAGCATTGTTTCAAGGCCAACAGGGGTGAATTTAATGAAGCTCACATCTTGCTGCTCATGTTTCTTTAAATGAACTAGACAACTTAACAGGAAATCATTTGTCACGGAGAGCTCACAAGTCTGAGCTCGAAGCCTGAGCAATGATGTGGTTAGCTTAGCTTAGCATGATGTGTGGAAACAGGTTGTGCGGTTGGGTTTTCTCTGTTAGAGAGCAGTTGTACCTTGGACTCCTCTTTCTGATGGTTTTGTCTCCAATACTGACGTCTTCAGCTCTCACTGCTGAGTAAACCACAGTTGTATAAATCTCTGCAAAATAAAACACATTTAGATTACAGCAGGAATGAAATCTGCACATTTTCTTTATTATTTGTCTAAAAAAAAATCACTCATTTTTTACAGAGAGCAGCAGGTTTTTGCTTTTTCCTCATTTTAACACCTCTGAATAACAGAAACCGCCGGCTTTTGTGTGAAAAAAGAACCTGGTGTCCACAAAGCTGCCATCTTCTTTCAATACAATCAGACACACTTCATCATGAAGCAAATATGTTGTCCCAACATGAAAACTGTTATTAGACAAAGTAGCACACGCGGCAGTGACAAATCTAACCAGAACAACAAAACTCTCTCTGAGACTGGAAACCACCTAAGATCCCAGATAAAGTGTTTCCAGTTAATGTATGTTACATTTTTTCCTGTGTTGCAAGTGTCACTCTGCATTTAACTTTCAGCAACAGGAAGTTGCTGCTGTGGTTTTACACGCATGAGGTAATAAAAAAATATTTAATGAAGACAAATCATCACATTAAGACCCAGTCTGAGAGAATGAAAGAAAAACACATAAGGATATTTTTTTCTCTCTCCACACCTTTAACATTACAATTTCTTGACAACTTGTGTGTCACCAAAACCAAAATCAAACACATCTGAGCAGTTACAGCTTTGACACCTGTTGTCTGGGCCAGATGAAATACAGACGAGCCACATTTGAATCAAACTATTCAAATGAGCTTTTTTTAAATTCGAAACAACTGATCATCTCAATGCAGTGCAGGTAATACAAACTGACAACAACCCACCTTCAGGTTTCAGGTCAACATCTCTTCTCACCAGTAGAGCCAGTAACACCAGTAGAACCACAACACAGACTGACCCAACAGAGATTAACACAGGAAGAACAAGAGAGGCTGATGTAGGGATAGAGGTGGATGTAGATAAAGGTGTGGGAGTAGATGGAGGTGTGGTTGTAGGTTTCCCTTAAATAAACAACATGTAATCATTAGTTTATTGTGAATGTTGAACCTGCAGAAACACAGACAGGTGAGTGTGTCACCTGTAACAGTGATCCAGCTGGATGGAGACTCTCCATGACCGCTGATGTCACACTTGTAGAGGCCTTCATCAGACCTGGAAACATGCTGGATGGTCATGTGACCTGTAGGCTGCTTCCTGATGAGGGAGCCATCTTTATAGAAAGCAGCTGGGAGGTTGGAGGGAGTGGTCTTTGTTTTACAGAGCAGAGTGACGTCATCTCCCTCCATCACAGGGAGGACAGGACTCTGCAGGATCACTGATCCACCTCAACACAGAGACAAACTACAGCATTTCATCCATTTACACACAGCTTCATCAACACTAACTCCACACACTCAGCTTACCAGTGACTGTCAGGTTAACCATGTTACTGATGGGACCCTCTCTGGACTCACACCAGTAAACTCCACTTTCATGAGGCACCATCAAAGTCATGTTACAGGAAGAACCAGCTGGTTTTCCCCACCCATCTCCTCCACACTGAGTCCTCTGTCGTTTGCTTGTGTTTCTCCTCAGAGTCCATCCAGCAGAGCTGTCGTCCTCCTCACAGCTCAGAGACACAGAGTCTCCTTCGAAGAACTGAGAGCTGCTGGGACTCACAGTCAGACGAGCTGCGAGGGTTAAAATGAAAAACTGATGATCACGTCTTTGAGATCTTTACTGAAAGTTTTAATCCAAATGTGTGAAACCTGTCAGAGTTTATCAGGTTTAAACTGTGACAGAAGAAGGTTACTGACCTTGGTTTGTTGTGCAGCTCAGCAGTGAGATCAGAACTAAAGAGAAATGACACTCAGGTTGATTTGAGGTGAACATAAAGAACAACTTTGTAATATTTGATATATAATTCTACAATGAAACTAATCACAACATTTCATATTTCATGCTCTAATGTAGTTACTGTTACACAAGGAATCACATACAGTTATGTTGTAATAATACGTAACTGTATGTATTAGTAAATACAAAAGACTAGCACTAAACTGAGGTCCACGTAAGAGTGCACCACTCTGCTCTGTTCTCACAAACACCAACATTTTATTTCAGCTTTTCACTCATAAATTCATCAGTAACTCTGTTAAACTTCAGACCTGCAGTTGGTCCTCGTGGTGTTTGAACTTGAACTCAGCCTGATTTGTTTTTCATGTCTTCTCCTCCATCATCAGTTATCAGGAGAGCAGACAGTCAAAGTACAAGAATTCAAACAAACACAGAGATTCTACTTACAGAGCAGACACAGCACAGATGTTTCCTTCATCGTCCTTCTCACCCATTTGAGCTTTTTTTCATTTCTGTCACTGACACCAAGTAAAGCCCGCCCTCTTCCTCTGAGCACGTATTCTTCCTCCATCTGTAGAGTTATTGGTGGATTTCTAACCTCTTAATGATTCATGTGATAAATTTATTCCAGAATATGAACTTAGACACTCTGCAGTTCCTCTTTTGTTGCAAAACTAAAATTAAGTTGTTTTTTTTAAGTGTAACACACAGAAACACATAAAACCTTTTGTGCTTTCAAAAGTTAAGAAACCAGCAACGTTGTTTTGACATAATTTGAGGTTAACTGAGATGATTACATGATATTTGAGTTTCTCTGTGATAATCGATAAAACACATCCTGACATTATGACTTCATTCACAACAAATCAATTAAAAATACCATTTAAAACGTCGACTGTACTTCAGTCTGCTGTCAGTGTTGCAGCTTAGTTAATGAAACAAACGACAACCATTATAACCATTTAGTGGACGTCCCCCTGAGGCAGCATGGTGATTCTGTTGTCTGACTGGAAGAAGGTGCTGGGTTTGAATCCAGCCTCCATCTTTCTGTGTGAGCCAATCACATTCTCTCACAGTTTCTCCTCTCAGCACCTTTGCTGTGAGCCAATCGGTGAAAGGATAGAACTGTGACGCCTTTGTGCTAAAAGCAAAGCCGCCATCTTCTCTCAGTGCAGACTGACACACTAACCACAAGCAAGAAAGCCGACATGTTCTCATCAGTGTTGTCAGACTCATACCATAACACCTTTACTGATAAAGCACTTTAACATAAACCAGGGTTCACAAATGTATGTTGTTCATATATAAATAACCTAAACAGAAAATAAAATCATATAAAATAGAGTCACCCTCTTAAAAGAGTGCCAAAGGCATCAGCACATAAACGTGCTTTAAGAAGCGTTTTAAATTCAGAAAGCAATGAGGCCAACATGGCTAACATGGAAGGATCATTGCACAACTTCGGAGCAGCTACAGCAAAAACGTGGTCACCTCTAAATTTGTGCTTAGTTTTTGGCACCATAGGCAGAGTTTCAGGCTGAGAGCAGCCAACAACAGGAAGTTTCTGCTGCGGTTTTACTGAATTCTGTTTGCAGAAATTAAAATAAAAGGTTTTAAAATTGTGTTAAAGAACAGTTTGAGAGGCTGAAAACACTGTTTGGTCTGTTCAGCCTTCTTTATACGACGCATTAACAACAAATTCATCCTTTTAGTTGTGCAACCTTTAAGGCACAAATAAAAGAGAAAGAGCTGCTCCAGTGTTACAGATCACATGACCATCCTCGGGATGCTTTAATCCAGAAGTGAAGAAGAGCAGCTTTACTACTTATCTGTGATCATTTGTTCTTGTCTGTGATGATTTTTCCATAAGTGACGTCTTCAGTTCTCACTGCTGAGTAAACTGCAGCTGGATCAGTGTCTGCGCAGTAAAACACACACAGAGGACGTCACTGCAGACAGAACAGCTGATAACAGACCTGAAACTGCTGCCACTCACAAATCTTTATATGAAACACTCCGAGTGTTTTCACTTACTGCTCAGGTTATTTTAAAAGTTTAAAATAGTTTAACATGAAGTCAAATGTGAGATAAAGGAGAAACTGAATGGTTAACATTCAGTTCCTCAGAGCAGCTGAATGAAGCTGTGAGGAACCGAATGTTAGTTAATTGCACAGAATATTAAAGAAGTGAGTTATTAAGTATATTTTCATATTTAGTAAATATAGCAGTCTTTGATCTGTCAGAGTTTAAAGAAATGCTCTTAATGATAATAACAGATTGCATGTATATAGCGCTTTCTAGGCACCCAAAGCGCTTTACAATTCGTTCACTCTAACATTCACACACTGGTGAAGGCAAGTTACAGTGGTAGTCACAGCTGGAGCAGACTGACAGAAGTGAGGCTGCCATATTGCACCATCGGCCCCTCTGGCCAACACCAGTAGGGTGCTGCAGCCACTGAAGGAGCTGCTCAGGGATGACAGCTTAGCCACCATTCTCCCTCACTCACCACACTGGAAGTCTACCACCAGCTCCTTGGTTTTATTAGTGTTGATCTGGAGGTAGTTCCGCTGGCACCAGTCCACAAAGTCTCTGTACTCCTTGTCGTCCCCATCAGTGACGAGGCTGACTATTGCAGAGTCATCAGAGAACTTCTGCAGGAAGCACTGGGTGGAGTTGTGGGAGAAGTCTGCAGTGTAGATGGTGAAGAAGAACGGAGCCAGAACCGTTCCCTGTGGGGCCCCCGTACTGCAGACGACCCTGTCTGACACACAGCCCTGAGTCCTCACATACTGTGGTCGGTCGGTGAGGTAGTCCAGAATCCAGGTAGTGCGCTGATGGTCCACTCCTGCTTGTCCTTCAGGACTGTGGGAAGAATGGTGTTGAAGGCACTGGAGAAATCAAAGACCATGATTCTCACAGTGCTCCCAGCGGTCTCCAGGTGAGCGAGGGAACCATGTAGGAGGTGAATGACGGCATCATCCAGTCCAGTGCCAAGTGAAGCCGTCTTCCTCTGAGCACCAGCTTTTCTATTGGTTCAAACACAGAGGTGGAGGGCTACGTTTTTTCTTTGTGAAAAGGCAACTTAAAAAAAACATTCAAACATGAAGCTTTTTTTTTTATAGACAGTGGCAGAGAAAAGGACATTAAAGAAACTGATGGACATTATGAACAATGCTGGGCATCCTCTGCACACGGCCATTAACAACCAGAAGAGTCTGTTCAGTGACAGGTTGCTTCTCCCCAAGACAAGAACTAACAGACTTAAAAACTCCTTTGTCCCACACACCATCAGACTGTTTAACTCCTCTCTGGAGGGGAGAGGGAGGGAAAACAGGAGGACAAAGGAGGGGGGAACAACTAAGCTGTAGTGCCTCTTCACCTCACTGTGCAATACTTTTTGTAAATAGTCAACGGTGCAATAGACTCAATACTTGAAATGTGCAATTCACTTGTATTTTTATTTTTATTCCTATTTATTCTATTTATTTATTATTTATTTATTATATCTATTTATTTATTTCTATATCCCCTTTGTATATTTTATTTATATTTGTCTCTGTATTTATATATGTGTGTGTATGTGTGTGTGTGTATATATATATATATATAATATTCTGTAACTCTGTAACTTCTGTCGTTGCTGTGCTTTTTTTGGAAATCAAATTTCCCAGAGGAACCCACCCGAGGGATTAATAAAGTTCTATCTTATCTTATCTCTTATCTTATCTTTTATCTAGAAAAGCTAAAAAATGTATCATTGAGTAGTTTTTCAACATAATTTGAGTTTTTGTGGTAAATTTTTATATGTACTTATATGCCACAATTTTACTCTCTTAAGTGCTTTCTGTCTAACATTCAAACTGATGGATGCATCAGACAAAAAGTTTTTATGGTAAATGGCCTGTATTTATATAGCGTTTTACTAGTCCCTAAGGACCCCAAAGCGCTTTACATATCCGGTCATCCACCCATTCACACACACATTCACACACTGGTGATGGCAAGCTACATGTTGTCCAAGGATATTTGGCATGCAGACTGGAGCATCAAGGGATCAGTTCACAAGCTTTATAATTAGTGGGTGATCTGCTCTACCTCCTGAGATGAAGCCACTCCAGGAATGCCAACAATTAT